AGAATAATTACAACCTAATTAATGATAATGCAACGAGTTTGTTCACTTACGTAAATGAATTCGCGATAAGGGAATTTGCGTCGTTCTCGCGATCGAAATCCGTCTTGATGAAGTCCAAGACGCCGTTATCACCGAAGGCGCCCCACTCAATATCAATGATAACCTGGAGCAAGGAAAATTTGATCAATAACTTGTAGATGTTTCCACGCTGCGAGTACAGAAAGAGGGAGAAAAAAAGAGAGAAAGTGAAAAATGTGATAAAACATTAAAAAGATTATTAATATAAAATAAGTATAAAATAATTCTTTTTAAATTCTTTATCAAATAAGAAGCAAAGTTTTGACTGAGAAAGTAGTGGCATCTATCTCTTGTTTTTATATCATGTACGTTATCATATGATGTATCGAGAATTTACTTCTCTCTCGCCGTGTCTCTCCGGTTCCCAATGCTCGACCCGATCCGCCCGTTCCAGATAACAGGCGTTGCTACCAGTTCCCAGAATAAGTCCGATCGCCGTGTTATGATCCAAAGTTGAAGCTTGTACCAAGGTACCCGTCGTGTCGTTTAAAACGGCTACGACCTTCACCTTTGTGTCGCCCCGTCGATCCAACGCCTCTCGTAGTAGCCTCACAACGTCCTTGTTTACAGCATCGGGGCAGTTGAAAGTTTTGGTCCATGTCACCAGAATACCGACGTCCAACGAGTGTTGAATCATCGGGAACGAGAAGGTAAAGCCTGCGTAATACGGGTCGTCAAGGTTGGAAGTAGAAGAGCGGACAAACGTAGATAGTTATGCTAATAGAGCTGGTTACATTAATATATCTTTCCACCGATTTCCTGCGGCAAACAAAAGTGTTTTCTACGATACCTCGTCGCGAGGGTCGTTATTTATAGACTATATCGCGTGTAGCAATTCGTGTTAATTAAAGATTTCACGCGTTCAATATTCTGACGCGTACCGTGAACGCGAAACTCAATTTACCGAGAGGAAGCTCCACGTCCTGAAGACCCTGAGAAATGACGAAATCACTGACACACTCAGCCAAATAGTCAAACAGGGGGATTGCCGAGCCGACTCTTAATTCGGACCCGATGTAATATCGCTGCACCTCTTGTCGTATGGGAGCACCATGGGCCAATTCCAACAGTAGCACACGAAAGTTGGTGCCGCCGAGATCGAGTGCCAAGTAAAGACCTTCTTCTACAAGTATTCAAGCATACATTTTAATTATCAGTATTAAATTGATTATCAATAGCGCGATAGATATCATGTCTTCAATATCTATTGGTATCTTCTTTCTGATTATGATTTTTCGATCTTTAATTATCTAGTGAAATGAAACTCATCTCTTTATCATCCAAAATAATTTTTTACCGTGTATATAAACTATAAAATTGTAGAATGTATTTTTATATAATTTATATTATTATTTTAATTTAATACACAATAATATTATTCAAAGATTAAAAGCAATTTTCACTGAACAGCTTTACACAAGCTTTAACAGATAAAGGCTGCATTCGGAGAGCGTGCTATTAGCGCTATTGTATCATTCTATCTTTATCGCTCATTAAATGTAAAACAAGGATAGAATAAGCAAATAGCGCTAATAGCGCGCTCCCCGAATGCAGCCATAATATTTCGAGCATCTCATCGCATCTCTTATTTCGTATAAAAAATTATTGAAATTCTTATATGGTACGTAATATAGTAAACTCTGCTAGACAAATTAATGATTGATATCTGTGTAATTAAATAATTCAATATAAAATATATCAATATATTAAATGATTCAACATATATTATAATGCAAATATAAAAATCAATATAAAATACTTTGATTGTGATATTTTTATTGTCGGGAAAGGATAAACAATTCGGGGTAGTTAACCAGTTTCGTTTTTCTGTTTCTCTGCTGTTAATATCTTTGCTAAACAGTGATAACTTGATAAGACTTATAATAGGATACCGAGTGATACGCGCTATCATTACAGAATTAAGCGTAGAAACTTCGTTAATGACCTGTTCCATCGAGTAGTTCCGGTACATAGGTGTTCTCCATCTGCAATGAGGACGGTTGCTGGTGGATTCCCTTATTCATTTCCGAAATGAAAACATCCTGTATCTTCCTAGCAGTCGCTGCGGAGAATCGCATCTCCGCCATGTAGTTCTCGACCTGTGAACAGAGTTTTTCCCTTTAAAAAATGTATTGCTTGTGACGTATGACGTATATGATACATGCGTGTCGACATAGGATTTTTATGGCAGGCAATATCATCTCGTCATCGCGAAAAGAAAAAAATTTCCTCGATCCATAAATTCTGTCGGTATCTCGGCATACAAGTATATCGCACGAAGTTACGAAGGCACGGTATTGTTTACATCTTACGTTATGTATTACGCAGTTTCTAACAGAATTCTGAACAGACATACCGCAGAGAAACTTATGCTGCACGTGCAGCATACAAAGTGTTATATTCTGAATTAATTACATCTAACGTAACGAATAAGATTTATATACGCACACATTCAAATAGATGTTTATCAATGTTTAAGAATTTTCTCGTGACGAGATTAATGAATTACTGTCTCTCACATATCATACAAGAACAGCTATACCTATTATTATGCAAGAGTATAAGAAACTAATTTAATAGACTTGCATAAATCATTTTTTTTTAGTTTTTTAAAAGGAAACAGTTGTATGTAGAGTACACATTCTTGTAGTACTATACGTTATATTTTGTTTACCAAAGCAAATCGATGTAATAAATCGAGAAAATGCTGAACTTAATTACACATGCATTCATAAACTTTGCGACGCTCATAAAAATAATTCGTAAATATTATTGCAGGATTTTTACATTTAACATTATGTCATTAAATAACTGCTATTGATATTTTTTTTTAAATCTCATTTTGCAAAATTCTTATTATTTCACTTTATTTTAGAATTAGAAAATTAAAAGATTTTATGCGCATAAATGAAATTATTATGTGATCATATATTTGCAACAAAATATGGTTGATAATAAATGTGTCACAATAAAAGATTAATTTTTTTTCTGTCTCAATAAGTTACTAGGAGTCCGCGTTGTTATCTATAAACTGCAGATAAACTGTTCGTACGTCAAACTTTTAGCAACACCCGATTACCTCTTGATAACCTTATAACTTAGAGAGCAAGATAAAAGTTGTGACGAAATCCATGATAACCCCGAAATCCGACTTGATTCACTTTTATTTGAACTGTCCTCTGAGACGAGACCCGCATAACTATATATAAAGTATGCAAGATTAAATAATCACAATTTTCTATTAACCGAACGTAAGGTTAATGGACTTCCTATTATACACATCACATTTTGAACGCAATACAATTGTAGAAATCTCGTTAAAAGCAAGTTAAAACAAAAATACATAATCGATGATTTTATTCTAAATTTTGGATATTATTTAAAAATTTTACGTAGAAGATAATGTCTATTGAAATTTCTGCGTAAATATTCCATAATCTTACAATCTAAATATCAGAGATTAGAACGTGCCAAATTTTTTTTCCCAAAAAGTTATTTTACATTTTTAATCTTCTTAAAAAAAAGATTTTACTGGTCGGACAGTAAAATCTTTGTCCACGCCTGATATTTATGATATTTAATCGTATATGTGATATGATCAGCATAATTAAAAGGAAGAAATAGAGTCTGTAGATAATAGGCTCATGTCACTAAACTCTTAATTAATATATCGCGAAATAAACGTCACATGTGTTGTTGATTATTTCATTTCTTTTATGTACATCCAGACTGTATGTAATAATTAAACGGCCATTTCCTTTTTCGATTCGTGTTGTATGTTATGAAAAATTAATGGGTTTAATAATACTTCAACATTAAAAAGGAACTTACGTGTAACATCTAAATGAAACATTTAAAAGAATAGAATTATTTTAAATCTATTATTTACAAATTTTATTCAGACTTAAATCTGTTATTAATTAGAAAATCTGTATCGCCTGCCATTTACATGTTAGATATTCATTAAGAGGAAAGGAACAATCAAATAAGCGAATGAAAAAGTTGAATTAATAATATATCCGATATGTCCGATACACTAATTCTTATAAACACGAAAAGACAAAGAATATGTGCAATGAAAGGAAATAATTTATATTTCATAGTTTTCTTATTATCTAGTAAAATTTGAATCTAACATGCCATCGTTAGTTTCATTACATATATTCTTATCAAGTTTCGATATAACATCAGCCTTCAACTTCATCGTACGATTGGATTAAGAGAGCAGAAGTTCAGAGTAAACATGGGAATTGAAGATAAGACGAACGAAATATTAGAGAAATTCAAATAGTCGTTATACTCACTTTTTGTCGTCTGACATCGTCGGAAAGTATCAACGACGATACTTGAATCGCCTCATGAAGTGCATGGTCCGCAGGAACGACCATGTCGAAACGTTATCGAGTCTCTGAAAAAAGAAAAATATTGATAATCATCAATAAAATATCTAATCTGATTTGAAGCAGCAAAGTAAGAATAATCGCTTAAATACGGATTTTACTTTCATAAGTGATGTTTTGATTATATTAAACGAGTGCACTAATTGAAATGAAACTGTTTTGTTTCATCGATTAATAGTTTTTGTCTTGAAAAACCCTAACTAAAAATTAATGTAAAGTACATACATGTATAAAAAATTTGTACATGCTTGTATTTCAACAAAAAAGTATTATAAAATATAACATAATTTTATCGTCACTGTGTGGATTATCATAAAATTGTAGTGCATTGTAGTAATTGCATGTAGTTTTGTTCTAAATTAAATATCGGTGCGGATATTGCTTAGACACATCTGCTATCTCAATTCTACCGACGCGTCGCTCTAAATATCACGACATATTAATTTATAATAGACATTCGAGTCTATCGCAAGTGTCATTTTATCAGCATGCAGGACCAAAAGACGATCAGTGTTATCAATACATTTTAAAAATACAATCCAATAAAAAATAATCTAGCAAATATTCTCCACTTTTGAACAAAACTGATATTAAGACTGACGAATAAAAGGGAAAAATGGGCTATGAGAAGTAAATGTGCGGTTATTTGTGCGTGAGTTTACGTTATCTAATATTTAATTAATAATTTAATACAAGGTAAAACTTATAGCTTGTATTAAATTATTAATTGAATATCACATAACGTGAACTTTCACGCACAAATAATCGCGTTTGACTTTCATAGTCCACTTTTCCTTTCTAGTCGTTAGTTTTAATATCGAGAGTCTTTAGCTGATTATTTATTTAAAACTGCAGACAATGACCAATCTTCTCTCCTAACTTAATTAAATAGTCTTTCTTTCTTTCTTCCTTCCTTAATTTTCAATTTTTTATCAATCGGATACTTTCTTCGGAAAGATTTGTTATTTTATTTTTATGATATTTAATTAAATTACCTTCTTAATTTTATATTTTATATTTTTCTTCAATAAATGTTCTGTACAATAATATTTTTGTGTAGAATTACTAAAAATTGAGATTTAATATAAGTTAAATATACGTTCAATATACCTACGTTAAAAATATGCAACTTTATAATTTAATGAAGATGTCTAATATTATATATGATAATTAATTATGTTTATTATATAACTTGGCAAGCTATGAAAGATGATTAATCTGGTGCATGTAATTTCTGATAACATGGTTTACTTGCTCATAAATTCTGCGTCATCTAAGATAAAGTCTCTCGCTGTAACGTATCATTGCATGTCACTATAAATCAATTAACGTTCTCGATTAATGGGAAATCGAAAAGTGGAACGCGCGTTGCATCAGCGATTCTACACGGAAAAGTACTTAATTAGCTAAATGTTTCGTAAATTCCATATCACTGAATTTTTAACACATATTGTAATATGAATTTACAAGATAATAAAGTAATAAAACAAATCACTCTCAACTGGGATGCGTCAAAATGTTGGAAACAAATAAAAATAAAGAAAACTTGAGTAGTTTGTTACATGTTTCTAAAGAATGTTGAATAGCGAAATCACAAGAGTCTAGATATTAAATCACACATGAAAAAGTATTTCACTGTTAAAATAATATGGCTTTCGATCGGTTTATCAATAACGATTATAATCGGGATCACTCGATTACTCATTGGATATTAATGTAATCGTGTGAATTTGAATATCAATTTATGTTACATATATACTTATTGTGTACATCGCCAACGCTAGCGATACGAAGCTGCATCGTGCATAACAACGCGTTATCTGTAATCACTTACATGCCTATATAAGTAAGACCATGAAAGTTAACCAGTCGTCTTTTGAGCCCGATCAACTGGTTCTGGTAGTTTGCCTCTCGCATGCCATCGTTACATTTTTCTTATATTCGTCTCACACACAGTTCCTCTGATTCAACTCTTAAAGTAATCCGAGAGAGAGAGAGAGAGAGAAGAAATTCTATACTCATCACATTATTTAATTTGGGCATATATCTGTCGTAGTGCATGTATGTAATCATTCACAGACCGCGAATTTTCTATACGTTTGAATAATTAAATTCAATAAGATATAAAAGTAGATGATTAAATTTTATAAAATATATAACTTCCATTTTTATGGTTTAATATAAAAATTCAATAGTTTGATTTAAAAATTCGAAGATATTAATTATTTAGCAACCGATGAAAGTGATAGTCTAAAAATTCACACTGCAAGTGCGTTTGTTTATCAACTACAACATGATCTGGTCTTACATCATGTCGTGTAAGTCTGGATAAATTCGAAGCAGGTAAAGACGAGGCTGCGGAAAGCGACGAGAATGTTCTTTCTGAGCTGCAAGCCGATAACGAATGAGGCTCCATTGAAATCAATTGGAAGGTGCGAAACGTCAACCGAGATAATTCAGCCAGTTGACCCGCCGAGATGATTCTAATCCAGAGTGCAACACGCACACCCGTTATCACCCCCTCGTACTCGACGATCAAGCATGGCATTTCACTGCATCTTCATCGACCGATTGTGACGGATAGAAAACTTTCAACTGATGTGATTTGCAACACGGCGCCGTTTCCTGACATTCTCAGCACATCTATCTTTCATTTATCATACTCTGCACCAATCAGCGCATCAACGATTAAAGATTCTGACGTAAGCATAAAGGGGATAGTCTCACATGATGAGAATAATGGAGTTGCAAGAATCTCGCGAATGATCTAACCGACAATGTTATTGACAGTTATTATTGAATATTATGTAACTTCAAGGTTATTTTACGCATTTTTACAGAAATTTATTTATTAACTAGCGAATTTAGAGACTAGTTTGACAACATTTTCTATTAAATATTAAAATAAATTTGTTAAAATCAAAATTTAATTAATATATATATTCTTTCTATATTTCTCAAAATTTTAATATTAAATATTGGTAACTATTTATGTCAAACCAAAATTTTATTAATATCTGAAATTAAAATTGAGTAATCGCTGATTTCGCGAAAGTCAAAATTTCTTCTTCTTCGATTATATAATAGATGCCAAATTATTTGTATGTATATATATATATATATATATATATATATATATATATAT